GCACACACTGCACACAGGCTAATTGGCCATGCTTGTAAATTAATCCACGAGGAAGAAATGTGATTGTTTAGGAGTTTAAGCCTCTGCTGTCTCCCCTGTGCACGACGTGAGAGAGTGCTCGTTTTGTGTATTGTCTTTATTTAATTTTAACGTGTTATTTTTTGGAATCCATTCTAGCTTAGTCAGAGACAAAAGGGCGAAAAAAGACCAATGTATGGTTGGCTGGCAGAGCCCTGCCAGATCATTTGTTAGCTAATGTTTTGTCCTCCACGGCGATAAGATATGTAAGGATGTTATCTTTGTTACTATTTATTTCATTGCAGTTTCTAAAGGAAACTCAGTCTGCATCGTTGAAACAGTACTCATTGGCAAAAGAAATGAAAGAAACCACTTGAGATCCCAGAGTATGCCCTTCTTCATGTTTTAGTGAATTTTCCAAACACTGCACACAAAGACAATTTTACCTCACATGATTACACCAGAATACTTTTATATTCGTACAAGGTCATGAATACAATTCATGAAAGTGAATGATCACCATCATTTAATGGCTTACACACAGCATTCTCATGACATGGATGTAAATAGCATGCAGAAACCTCTGTCCTCCCCCTGTCTGTCCTTCACTTTCACAATTCCAAAGCTTCACTCCTGACACTTCTGGTCGCCAGATGTGTGGGAATTTCTCCTCACCAAGCAATTCTTTCAGACACCAACCGAGTGCCCTAACTCAGTTTCACTCTGTCTACCCAGAGAAGGTTCAGACCCCACAGGCAGGTTAGGGGAGAGTTCAGTCTCACAAGACGAAAAAACAAAACTCACTCTAATCAGATGCCAACAGAAAGTTCAGGTTGTCACCTGTATTTCTTGACCGATTGGCTATAATTAAATCGAGGTTCCCCATCACCTCAGGTGGGATTAATTTGCTAGAGCTTAATTGCAGTCAAAGGGGAAACATCGCCTACCAGTCTATTCAAGGATGTGATGAATGGTACAGATGAATACTCAGATGAAAGGCAGGCCCAGGGTAGGGTCCGTAAGGCACAAACCTGCCAATATCTTGTCACAGAGCCCCCTGCCCTCGCGCCTGCCTCCAATGCGTTTCACCAGTCTGGAAAGTTCTCTGAATCTGTACTTTCTGGAAATTTTAAAGTTTTTAAAATTTATTTTGAGAGAGAGACTATGCATGGTGCCAGGGAGAGCAGAGAGAGAGGGAAAGAGAGAATCCTCACAGGTTCGCACTGTCACAAGCAGACACAAGGCTCGGTGCCTGTAGTTGTGAGATCACCAGAGCCAAGACCACAAGAGTCAGGATGCTTAACCGACTGAGCCATCCAGGCCCTGTACTTTTGTATTTTTTTATGCTCCCTCAAGAGAAGGTGCAGTGCAGGGCTGAAAACTCCTCTACCTCCTAATCGCGGGTTCGTCTGCCTTTTTCCAATGACCAGCCCTCATCCCGAACCATTTCAGAAGCCCACCCAAAGGCCACCCCACAAAGACACTCCTAGTATCCAGGAAATTACAGGTGGGTTTTCGAGTCAAAGCCAGGAACTGGGGCAAAGGCCAGAGACCGGTATGTGGCTTTTTCTGTTATTTCTCACAGGCCAGCCTATTTATTGTCTAATTTCTGATTAGTCCAGTTAGGTCAATGAGCATAGCTGACCCACTCCTAGGTCCAGTGGTCTTTTTATAATTTGATGTGCAAAACTGCTTGCTGCTGCACCCTCTTTCAGTATTTGTGTAGTACCTTTTAATATTCGTCAAATATAAAGGGTTAGAAAGTTCATTTGTCCTTGGATTTTTTTTAAATGTTTATTTACTTTTGAGGAGAACAAGCAGAGAGAGAGAGGAGTGAGAGAATCCCAAGCAGGCTCTGTGCCATCAGCAGAGAGCCCGATGGGCTCCCGAACTCACAAACCTGCGAGATCGTGACCTGAACCGAGATCAAGAGTCGACGCTTAGTCGACTGAGCCGCCCAGGCACCCTCGTCCCTTGGATTTTTAGTAGGCAGTATAAGTCGTTATTAGCCATTTGTATTTTTTATACATTGCAATTTGTATCTACTGTCTAATTCTTTCCTTTAATGTATGGCAAAGTAGAACTCCTTACGCGTACAAAATTGCTGGCATCTAAATCTACGCCAGACACGCAACAGGACCTTCCTTGTCGAACAGTCGTTGACTGTGTTTGTCTCAACTGGTGGAAACCATGTCGCCTGCCTTCCTCTCTTCTTGTCCTATTTCTTTTCTGTGCACTGAGCTGCTGTTGCCATGACTCACCTCTCTCATTTTGGAAGGAGTAGAGAAGGCAGAGGTCTGAAGTAGAAAGTTGAATTTTTAAAAGCCCGAAAAAAATGGCAGTATATTTAGGACCCAGTTTTTTTTGTAAATAGATCGCCTTCTCAAGATCGCTGGCCAGTCCCACCATCAGCCTCCATCACGCTTTTCTTATTTGTGTGTCCAGAGAATGCCTTTCTTCTGCTCGGGTCCCTCGAGGTCCCAGCCTCAGTGGCCCGTGTTTATTCCCCACTTGTTTGTTTTTCTTCTCTGTCAGTCCCTTGTAAGTCCCCTTTCCTTTGGGAACGTCTGGCATGAATCAGAGCAAAATCTTCAATTATGCACTTCTTACTTAAAAGTTGCTCATGAGTTTCCTTTTAACTGTGTGCAGTAGACTACTTTCAATAGACTGCAGGCAGTTTACTTCCTGTTTCCTTCTAGTTTACTGACAAATGACATCGTTCACTATTTATGCAAAAATCCCCCATTTGTCTATTTATACAGCCTTCAGCCGCCTTGATTTTTCTTAAAATTATGTCGGAAAATGTGTCTTATTAGAATCCATATTAACTTCTTTTACTAAACTACAGTGGTCCTCTTTATTTCACCAATAATATCAACTTTGTTTTTAAAAGAAGTCCTTTCTCTGTCTCCCAAACTCTTTCAAATTCATGTAAGTTACACTGGCAAAATATGGATGGGATGAATTTTAGACCGGAGTTTTATTGTGTGAATTTTCAAATAATAATGGGACAAGTAGGGGGCTGGGGTTGTGCCTGGCTTGCTCCTAGCTCCGCGTTCTGGGCAGGTCATGTCGTGTTCTGGGCATTGTCCTGCCACCAGGCCAACGGTAGACATTTTGAACATTGGGTAAGAATAAGTTCCACTAGCTCCGAGCCACCTTTCAAAAATATTCCTTCAGAAAAGCAAAAGAAAATGTCCAGGTGAGGCTTCTTAGCAGACTTCCCAAGAGAAGAAAGCCATTAAGTTTGGAGAAATCCCTTTGAAACGAGGTAGGTGCTATTTTCTCTGGACTAGGGGCTGTTTTAGGTATTTTAAAAGGACAATCCTCCTCCTCCCATTTCTTTTTTTTGATCCTAACATTGATTCAGAGTAAGAGCAGTAATAGTGGATGAATAAACGATTTGAACGCTTTAACAAAAGAAACCTTCATTTTTCCCTTCTGAAGTTTAAATTTCAGAGTGCTTGTTTTGGCTTTGGAAATTTACTCACTCCCAGTGTAACCTCTGAAATACATCACTGGTAAATTTCAGATTTATGAAGGAAATGAGGCCTGAGGGGTGTCGTGATGGCATTAAGAGGTATTAACTCGCTTACAGGAGCCTCTCTTGAGTTTTCTTATCTACACTTATTTTCTGGAAGCAAAAAAGAAAGATTTCAGGGCCCCTTAGTGTGGATATTTCATTGGCTGGTAGTGAATTACAGCAAGTCTTTGGCCCACTGCAAGAATAATATAGAGCAATGTCAGCCTATCATGGTAAGGTTATTCAATTCAATTTATTTTACACAAATACTGTGCAGGATTTCTTTCAGAGTAGTGTTAGTTGTTTTTTTACAGTTAAGAAAAAGAGACCCTCTGCTAACTGTCATTAAGGCGGCAAAGGAAATCTGATTATCACATTTCAAACAGTCACTTACTGCAAATTGTCTGAAGGTAACGTAACAGTCTAACAAAATGGAGACTGTAAGTGAGTGAGGAAGTTTATATTCACTTAAAAGTATCTCCAGAAGAGAAGAGAGAACAGTAAAAGGAACAACTGAAGAGGTGGGGAAGGAGAGAATTTCAGGGATTGCTGAGACCAGAGTCTTTCAGTTCAGGGAGTCTGTACATAACCCATGTCAGATAAGAGCAACCACTGCCTACAATCACATAGAATCTAAAAGTGAAAACATTGAGAGCAAAGGATATTGCAAGGAGCCACAGGAAGGGCAAAGCCATCTTCGCTTTAAAAAAAAGTCCAATATGACTGATAAGGTTGTGCTCAACAGTAGTCAAAAAATAGAAGCCAAAGATGATTAAAAGAATACTTCATGCTCCCTCAGACAACATACAGAACACATAGTGTAAAAAAAACCAAGAATTCTATATCCACACCTAATTTTTTTAAGAATATAAATGTGAAAGCATTTGCATCAAACAAAACTAAAGCTTACTGTAACTAGACTACACTAAATAAACATCTAAAGAAGAATATACTTTGGGGGCAAAGGAGAAATTTCCAAAGAGAGAGGGTCTGACATGCAAGGAAGAATAATAAGGAAAAATACCAATGTGGTAAAGACAAACATTGACTATAAACAAATAGTTTATCGAGTAATACCTAGGGGAAGCTGTGAAATTAGAGTACATATAAATAAAATATTGGAACCCAGTATTTAAGTCAATAGGGAATGAGGAAGAGC